GGATGCTGAGAACCTGAACCTACATCACGAGAAAATATAGCACAGAGTATGTGTCAATACTTGAAATGTACTGAGCATGCAGTATATAATAAAGCTGAAATACCATATAACTGAACAAAACAAATAAGCAAATGATATAATCTGAACATGAAATAGATACTGAATGCAATGACTAATTTATAACATGCTGAGACTGAATACTGAATATACTAAAACATGGTCAATGCAATAGAATCTGACTGAACTGTGGGAGCTACTAATAACCGATAATAAAACCACATGAGCTAAATGTGGAGTCCAATGTGTACGCCCCATCGAGAGGACCCAATATACCGTGCCAGAGGTATAGAGGCACGTTGGCGTGATCAGTGAAATGATGCCCACATAGGGGACTTACAACCTACGTGGCTAGTAATTCTGGGACTATTTGGGTACGCTGAACCCTAGTCTAACTTGGTATTATGCTACTCCCAATGGATTAGGTGATTAACACATTATGATTGAATTTCTGTAAGTTACTAGATACCTCAAAATGGATATGCAAACTGAGTATGCAACAATTAACTGATATTGATGCATTAATAACTGAGGCATGTATAACTGAATAACTAAAAAAATTGACCTAGCATGCGTAATTTAAGAATTGAAGAAATACATAGCTACGGTTCTGGAATTCATGCAATAAACTGAATATTAACGTACAAATTTGATTTGGATCATTCTAACAGCTAAGAACCCAGTAATTCTAAAATTCAAGAAACCCTAGGTCTAGTCATAATAAGGGAATCAAGAAACTGACTAAAAACTAGGGACCTAATGGGTGAAAGGAACCACCCACTAGTGAAATCCCACATATTTGGTGACGAATTCCACGGAGAAATCCTTAAATTTCAGGGCTGGAACTGGAGGAAACTTGGTGTGTTCTTGAACTAGGGTTGGTCGCCTCTTTCTCTTCTTACGCTTCTAATTTTCTAAGTTTTGATGAATGACCTGACTAAGGTAAGTTCTAGATATGTTTCTAGGCTTAAACTGATTAAAATCTCATAATTTAGGGTCTAAACGACATAACTTAGGGGTTAAACGAAACAGGAAAAGACCAAAAGACACCTGACTTAACTGCTGTTAGAGTGACCGATGGATGGGACCTACAGGCCATAAGTCAACCTACGGTCCGTAGGTTGGGGTCGTAGGTCAAGTCTGCCTGATAGGGCTTCACTAAAACGAGCATAACGTTTACTCAGAGGTTGGATTTTAGCAAACTCGGTAGCGTTGGAAAGAGGATTCAATTATCTATCATATTATAGGTCATGTAACACTAATTCTTTTTGTGCTGGGAGTTCTGACCATTAAAAGTTGACCCAATCAGCAATCCCCCCCTAACTGGCTGCTGGCCTTCACAACGATCATACCTACGGACCGTGGATCGAATGACATTCTGTACTGGTCATCTATCGTTCACGTCAGAGGCTGGGTAAAGGGACCCTCGATCCACGAACCCAGACCACAGACTGTGATCTGGCCTACGGATCGTGGGTGTGTCCGTGGGTCGAGACTTAGCCAATTTTCTGAGCTGGGTTTGGGGAGAGGTTGCAAAGGTGAACCACGGACCACCAGCACGGGCCGTGGTCTAACCTATGGGCCGTGGGTTGCACCTGCAACTTCTCAAAATCTGCATTTTTGGTCTATTTTGAATAAGGGTGTCACGCCCCGAGCTACCCTCGAGACGCGGACACGAAACCTAGGACCACAAGTGATCCCAAGCTAACCCTGCTGGCATGATCATGAGCATACTAAAGATAATAAATTGATGCGGAAGCTAATTCATAAATAAATCTGAAAAGATGGGGAATACCCACCCATATACTATAACTGAATATATCAAATCTGAGAGTTTAATACAAAAGAAATATCAAACTCAAAATACTAAGCTGGATCTAACTATGTCTAAAATAATCCTCTAAACTGACTAGAAATGTTGGGACATGCCCCAACTAGGTCTAGCAAAACTGAAACTAAAGACTAAAAGCGATAAAGATAAACGTGTCACTAGTCCTCGAAGAATGAGGACTTCACCACTGATGCTGCTGAACTGAAGATCGGGAACCGATCTAAGCGTGATCTGGATGCAGAGAACCTGAACCTACATCACGAGAAGATGTAGCGCACGTATGCGTCAGTACTTGAAAGGTACTGAGCATGCAGGATAAAGTAAAGCTGAAAGAACATATAACTGAACAAAGCAATAAAGCAATGAAATAATCTGAACATGATATAGATACTGAATACTGAGCTAACTGAATGCAATGACCAATTTATAACATGTTGACTGAATAATGAATGAACTGTAAATGTGGTTAATGCAATAGAGTCTGACTGAACTGTGGGAGCTACTAATAACCGACAATAAAACCACATGACCTAAATGTGAAGTCCGATGTATACGCCCCATCGAGAGGACCCAATATACCCTGCCAGAGGTATAGAGGCATTCTGGCGTGATCACTAAACTGATGCTGTCCACAGAGGGGACTTACACCTTCGTGGCTCGTAGTTCTGGGACTATATGGGTACGTTGAACCCTAGTCCAACTCGGTATTATGCTACTCCCAATGAATTAAGTAGTTAACTGATTATGACTGAATTTCTATAAATAGTGGATAGCTCGAACTGAACATGCAAATTGAGAATGCAACAATTAATCTGATAATGACGCATTCATAAACTGAGGCATGTATAACTGAATAACAGAGATATCTAACCTAGCATGTGTATTCAAGAACTAAATAAATACATAGCTAGGATTCTGAAATTCATGCGATAAATAGAGCAATAACATGATAATCTGATTTGGAACATTTAAATAACTAATTCATGATGATCTGTTCAAATTCTAGAAACCCTAGGTCTGTTCATAATCATGGAATCAAGAATCTGACTGAATTCTAGGGACCTAATGGGCGAAAGGAACCCACTAGTGAAATCCCACATACTTGGTGACGAATTCCACGGAGAAATCTTTCGATTTCGGGGCTAGAATTGAAGAAAACTTGCTGCGTTCTTGAACTAGGGTTCTTGACCTTTTTCTCCTCTCTTGCTTCTAATTTTTCTAAGTTTTGATAAATGATTTTGACTAAGGTAAATTCTAGTTATGTTTCTAGGCTTAAACTGACTAAAACCTCATGATTTAAGGTCTAAACGACGTACCTTAGGGGTTAAACGAAATAGGAAAAGACTAAAAGACCTCTGACTTAGTTGTTGTCGGAGTGACTGATGGACGGGACTGACGGGCCGTCATTCAATCGACGGTCCGTCGATTGGATCCGTAGGTCGAGTCTGTCTGATAGGGCTTCACTAAAACGAGCATAACTTTTTATTCGGAGGTTGGAATTTAGCAAACTCAGTGGCGTTGGAAAGATAATTCAATTATCTATCATATCGTAGTTTATGGGACACACAATTCTTTTTGTGCTAAAAGGTATGGCCATCTGAAGTTGATCCATCAACAATTTTCAGCTAACTGGCTGCTACCATCACCTACTGTCAGACCTACAGACCGTGAATCGATTGACGGTCCGTGCTGGTCAACCGTCAATCGGGACTGAAGCTGGGCTTTTGGAGCATCGATCCACGGACACGAACTACGTTATTTGACCTGACCTACGGACCGTAAGTCCGGCCGTGGGTCAACACTTAGCCAAATTTTCTGACTGAGTTCTGGGGAAGTTTTCTGTCACGAACCACGGACCTGGAGGACGGACCGTGAGTCCATCTACGGTCTGTGGATGGTGTCCGTGAGTGCCACCTGTAACACCAGAAATCTGAAATCTCTATTTTCGGATACGGGGTGTTACAACGGGGTGTTACACATATGATTAATAATATATATCCCAACACTTTTTGATAATTTTTTAATCCTAATTTTAACATTATATGCTTATGGCCACAAGATCTGCATATTCTTTAATTTTAATATCATAAAATTCAAAAGTAATTTTTACTTTATGCCAAGTCAAACCAGGACAAACAAACTAAAACAGAGGAAATATTTATCTCTGCTAAAAGAGAAGGGAGAAAATGGAGGTAAGCACATTAATGTTGGTGGCTTCCATTTGTTGAATTGAATTGCAAGTTTGTGACTTGTATAGATAAATTTTTAAAAAATAAGTGAATTTGAAAGCATAGAAACATATTTTAGTGATAATAAATAGAGCCAAGCTACTATTGATATACTTGCTGAATTATTGGGCAATTTACCAACTACTAAAAGAAAAGGGAAGAAAAGTCTTGATTGGGCCCAAGAGTAAGAACTATGGAGTTATTAGCCTTTTTCTTAGGATTGAAGCAAAGCAGAAAAAAAAACTTTGGTTGCTTTTCTTTATTACACTAGCCAGTAAAGAATTAATTAATCAGATATGGAATTCTTATCTATTTTTGTGAAAATGATCACAGATTGCTTGATCCAGTAAGTTGCGCGAGGGATTGGGTATTTCTATTACTACAAGAGCAACATCACATCTCTGGATGAAGGATCTCATAAGATGGACGGCGTGGAAGAAAGAGCAGAATTTACCCAGAGAAACTTACAAGTCATTTCACCCAATGTTGAGGCTTGGTTAACTAGTGTTGCTATCACTACTGCAGATGTGGCAACTGTGATGCGACGAGGTAGAATTGAGGTTGAAAGATATGGTTGGTGTCCAAACTCGAAATCACGTTACTGCTGAGCAAGAGAGCCAAGAAAATTACCCTAGGGGTGATTGAACTTCAAAATGAAGGTAACAAGCATTTTGTTTTTTCCTATCCTGTCGTAGAAATTGAAGTTGTATCTAGTGACAGTACATGACTCCAAAAAATTGCAAGAGGAAGAGGTCATGCCAACTTTGAGAGATGATGGGGTCAATATGATTGGGATATGTGGTATGGGTGATGTTGGTAAGACAACACTAGATAAGAAAATAAGAGCAAGGGAGAAACAATAAAGGTGGTTCGATGATGTTGTCATGGTAACTGTTAGTCAACAACCAAACTTCAAAAGAATTCAGAGTGAGATTGAAAGAGAAGTCGAGATGACATTAGAAGGGGATAATTTGTGGAATCGTGAAGATCAGTTGCGTTCAAGGTTAAAGGATCAGAACAGTCGTGTTCTTATAATCTTGGATGATGTTTGGGAAGATCTTCACGATCTAGAGAAACTTGGAATTCCTAGGGGTAGCAACCACAACCATCGGTGCAGAGTGACATTGATGACGTGTCTGAGAGATGTTTGCGAAAATATGGAAGCTCAGAAGATCATGGAAGTTGGAACCTTACCTGAAAAGGAAGCACAAATTCTTTTTAGGCAGAAAGCCAGTAATTTAGTTGATAATCCGTCTCTCTTTGACATAGCAAAAGATGTTGCCAAAGAATGCAAGGGATTGCCATTTGCAATTATTACAGTTGCAGGAGAACTAAAACAAAAAACCAAGCCTTCATGGGAGGATGCCCTTAAACAATTATGTGATGCAAAAACGAGAAATATCCCTGGAGTGCACTCAAAGGTGTATAAATTCTGAGGCTAAGCTATGATCACTTGGAAATTGATGAAGCCAGGTGTCACACCGCGAGCCTACACCCCGGATGTGGCTGGCAATCGAGAACCATTGTTGTCCCCAAGCGAACCCTTGGCCTGGCTAACTACTCAGCGGAAGACTCAAAGCATAAGAATACAAAGATTCCATGAAACTTTACTCAACTGATTAAGAGCTTACTTAGAACATTTAAAGATAAAACATTCAACTTAGCCAAAATGGAAACTCAAGTCTTATAGAAAAACATCTAAAATACAAGACTAGAGAACTCTGACTACTCGTGTATGAAGCTTGTAAAACAAAGAGGGATGTAGGGACAAGACCCCCGATCATCCTAACAACTGAAATAATAAAGCAATGTAAAAGGAGCCCTCTGGAAAGCAATGAGGCTCACCAACTGACTACGAGTGCTCAACTAGATCAACGAGGCGTTGGATGCTGATCCTGGTTACCTGTATCTGCATCATAAAACTATGCAGGCTAAATGACATCAGTACATTGAATGTACGAGTATGCGAGGGAAAAACTAAACATAAAATAAGCTTGAAAGGAATCTGAAAGGAACACTTACCTTGGCTTTACTCAACTCCTGAATAACTAAACTCAAATGCAAAGTAAAACAATAATAAATGTGCAGTTTATACAAAGCATTTATAATAGTAAACAACAACTCAATGTATTGAAAAATACAATAACAACTCAATTACGTAAAAGTAATATAATATTGTGGGAGTTTCTCTAACCGACAACAACCAATATGAGCCTAAGTGATGATACAACATCGTGCCCACGCTACTAGAACTGTCCTATACTTTGTCTTCATATAGAACGCTTTAACTAAGTGGATCCACTAGTCTATGCTAAAAAGCACGAAGGAATCATCTAAAAAGTATAATTTTTTCTATCGATGATGACTACATGGTTTATAGAGACTTGAGTTATTATGAACTCATGTCCCCATATTGATGCTCAATACTACTCCCAAAATATACTCAGCTCATATGTTTTAAAAATGAAGCTCGTTCTTTGGTTTGAGATAATTACTCAAAAAACTAGCCCAAAGGCTCTCTTGGAAATCGGTGTTTCCTTTCTTGCTCAAATGTGAAAGCATTTTTAACTCTTGGGAGTACTTAGTTCTCGTATAATCATCTGAAGAAATAAACTTAACTCTTTACTCTTTTCTCAGCTCAAAACTCAAGTCTTAAAACAAAGTTAAAACGTTTGTGAAAGACTTTTGGAAAACTTTTAAACTCATCTTGATTTAACTCTTAACCTCTTCACTTGAATCTTAACTTTCCTTGAATTGAATTATGGATTCAAGGTTCATGATCTCATGTTTATGGATGATTTCAGGATGTTTAGACGTACCTTAGAGTATAGAAATCAACTAGAAAACATAGGTACGTTGTTAAGGAACTAGTACGGAAAAAAAGTGGGAAAAGGTGGAAAAACTAGTGTCCCTGGCACTCTGAGCGACGTGGGGCACCAGGAGGAAAACTTCAGAACCACTTCTGGAGCGCATTGGTTGGCGCGGCGCCCCAGGCCCCTGCCCAGAAATTTCCAATTTTTCTTCTTCGTTTTTCAACTCTAAACCCTCTAATTTCACTTGGTTCTTTCCCCAAATACTTAGAATCGACTAAATTATCAATATGTGTAAGATTCTACTCGAAAACACACCTAAAATTATTACTCAAACACAAGAACTTCTCAACAACTCATCAATCAAGATTCAAATGAAACTTTCAACAATATTCATCAAGAACGAAAATACGCTGAAATAAATCATGATTGGTGCGTGGGTGAACTAACCAAATGCTATGTGATCTCACATACCTCGTAGGGATCACCCCTTGATGAAATCCACAAGCGATTCTTGGAGATCTTGACAATTCTTGCTTCTTCTCCTCTTTTCTCTTCTGTCAAAACCCTAATCCTTTTTTATAAAGGGTAAACTGAATTCAATCAGTTTAGACCCCATCTTAATTACCAAAAATGAAATTAAAATAATAGGGTATGGAAAAGACCATAATGCCCTTCTAAAATCCTGTTTAGACTTTCCTTATTCAAACAGCCCAACTTCAAATGGGCATATCTCACTTATACAAACTTGGAATCGCAGAAACTCGGTGGCGTTTGAAAGATAATTGAAAGATCTTTCCTAAGATATCTTGAAACACACCTAAATCATCCTGAGCCAGGAGTTATAGTCATTTGAAGTTGACCCAAAACTCATTCTTAACTTAACTCTTGTCAAATTTCCAGATTTTTATTATTTCCAAAAATCACTCTTTCTAATTCTAGCTCTTTCTAGTTCTTACAATTAGCGATATGTTACAATATCTCCTCCTTGGAAACATTCATCCTCGAATCAGATTACTCTTAGTAAGCTAAGGGTGTAACATCTAACATTAAGGTCAAACACCCAACAAGCAAATCTAACACATCTAGTATATAAATTAAAGAGTACTAAGAAGAAAATTAGTACCTTGGTTTGGAATTTCTCCGGGCTCAAAGAGATATGGATATCTCTTCTTTATATCCTCCTCAGCTTCCCAAGTAGCTTCCTGAATAAATTGATTTCTCCAAAGAACTTTGACTGATGCTACTTCCTAGGTCATCAACTTGCGAACTTGACGATCTAGAATCTTAACCGGGATCTCCTTATAAGACAAGCTATCCTTGATACCAATATCTTCAGTTGGTATGATAAGTGAAGGGTCTCCCATGCACCTTTTCAACATGGAAATATGAAACACCAGATGGACTGCTGTTAACTCTTGGGGTAGCTCTAACTCATAAGCTACCTTACCAACACTTTTGGATATTCTGTAGGGGCCAATATACTGGGGACTAAGCTTCCCCTTATTACCAAAACTCATAACACCTTTCATGGATGAAACTTTCAAATATACCCAATCATCTTCTTCAAACTCTAACTCCCTTCTCTTAACATTAGTGTAGGATTTCTGACAACTCTGCGCTATTTTCAACCTCTCTTGAATGACTTTCAGTTTCTCCATGGCTTGATAAATTAAATCTGGTCCTATCAACCCAGCTTCACCAACTTCAAACCATCAAATAGGAGATCTGCATCTTCTCCAATAAAGAGCTTCATAAGGAGCCATCTGGATGCTAGAGTGGTAAATATTGTTGTTAGCAAACTCAATGAGAGGCAGGTGATCATCCCATATACCTTTGAACTCAATCACACAGGCTCTCAACATATCTTCTAAAGTTTGAATAGTGCACTCTCCTTGACCATCTGTCTGAGGATGGAAGGTAGTACTTAAGTTCACCTTTGAACCCCAAGCCTTTCTTAAAAGATTTCCAGAACTGTGCAGTAAATTGCGCACCTCTGTTTGAAATAATCAAAATTGGCACTCCATGGAGTCTAACTATCTATTGAATATACAACTTAGCATAATCTTCTACCGAATGGGTAGTCTTTACCGGCAAAAAGTGGGCTGATTTTGTCATTCTATCAATAATCACCCAAATAGAATCATGCTACCTGCGAGACCTTGGTAAACCTGTGATGAAATCCATATTGATCATCTCCCACTTCCATATCGGAAGTTCTATATTCTGAGCCATACCACCGGGCCTTTGGTGCTCTACTTTAACTTGTTGGCAATTCGAGCACTTAGCAACAAATTTTGCAATGCCCTTCTTCATACTATTCCACCAATATACTTCTCTTAAGTCACGATACATCTTTCTGGAACCTGAATGAATGGAATATCTAGAGCTATGAGCTTTATCCATGATCCTCTCTTGAAGTTCATCTACCCTTAGTACACACAATCTGCCTTGATACCTCAACACACCATCTCCTCCTTGTTCAAAAGTCATTACTTTTTGCTTATGAACATTTGCCTCAAATTCAAGCAAAATAGGATCTTTGTCTTGCTTCTCTTTTACTTCTCACACTAACGATGATTCAACCCCATTCATCACCACTACTCCTCCTTCTGTGGAATCCATTAGTAGAACTCCCAACCGTGCAAGCCTATGCACATCTCTTGCTAGCTCTTTCTTATCTTCCTTAAAATGGGCGGTACTACCCATAGACAGCCTGCTCAAGGCATCAACAACAACATTAGCCTTACCTGGGTGATATAGAATACTCATGTCATAATCCTTGAGTAACTCTACCCACCTCCTCTATCTGAGATTAAGCTTTTTATGACTAAACACATACTGAAGACCCTTGTGATCAGTGAATACATCAACATGAACACCATATAAATAATGATGCCATATTTTCAAAGCAAATACTACGACAACCAACTCTAGATCATAGGTTTGATAATTCTTCTCATGAACTTTCAGCTGTCTGGAGCATAAACTATAACATCGCCATTCTGCATTAACACACAACCCAAACCAACTCAGGACGCATCACAATATACAACAAAGCCTTGCGTACCTTCTAGTAAGGTCAATACTGCAGCAATAGTCAACCTCTTTTTCAATTCCTGAAAGCTTTTCTCGCAAGCTTCAGACCATTGAAACTTAACTGTTTTCTGAGTTAACTTAGCCAAAGGGGATGAAATAGATGAGAACCCCTCTACGAACCTTCTATATTACCCAGCCAATGATTAACGTTTCAAAGACACTTCATCCGATTCTAAGTGTCAACGATCGCTAGTCAGTACATAACCCAACTAAATGAGTTGGGGTCGATCCCACAGAGAGTAACTTTTCCTTCAAATTCAATTATAGAAGTATGACAACAATCTCTTCAACTGAACACGTAATGCACCTTTTTGGATTAAGCTTCAAATTTCAAGTTGCAATTATCAATCCAATTCAACACTTAACACGAAATGATCAAATAATGAGGTAACACTTGGGGAATTGACCAACCAATTATTGAATTCAACTTAGTGGATGAACATTGATGCTCACAATGGGATAAATTGTCGTAGGTAGGTCGAACTATATGTAAAGCAGTTTTCTCTCAAACAATTACCTTATTTTTG